TATTTTCAGTTGCTCAACCTTAAAAAAACTACAAGTCAGTCAATATTGTTGGCTGTGGATTCCACTGAACCTCATAATTTCAATCTAGTTAGGGCTAAATCAGCGCCTTGTTACTTCAAATAACTTGCAAATTTCAACCAAATCGGTGTAAGGATATTTTATAAATACCGTTTTTTTTTTCAAACTTCAACGCCTTGTATCTCAGAAAAGAAATGACTCTGGACTTATGTTCATAGGTTTTTTTTCTCGAAACAACCTAACAAATCACTCTCTGAAGTTTCATACCGTAGATAGTCACAATTAGTCTGGAATATTTTCTGATATTCTTGAATAATAAATTACCTTCCACTTTGAATATGTTTGTGGCTCTTTCGCGCCTCAACGACTAAACGAATTCAGATGAAACTTTACATAAATACTTCTTATATATCATAATAATATATATCAAAATATCAAAATATCAAAATATTTATCATATCACAATTACATATTATGAAAAACAGCATCTTGCTGTTGAGTTGTAGATGTAGATGTAGAGTATCATACTTGTGGCCAAATTGAGGGGCTCCCACAGACAAATTTCTTTTTTCATATTCATTCAAGGTAAGGTCTTGAATTTTTCCACGGACTCAGCCTACGGCCAGGGCTTAATTCCCGCATACATGAAAGTGAAGTCTTGAAGAAACACAAATCCGGATCTTCTTCGGAGCTGATTTCTTTTTCCAGAAGTGCAAATTTTTCCTAAATGGGTCTGCTGGGTTCCAAATTGCCCTTCTTTTGTATACAGAACGCCTGGCGTACCTTCGGATGGTTTCTGGAGGTTAGATGGTAGTGGGGGGATGGCATTGCGGCTACCGTCGTTTTGTTACTCACGTGTATTAATAGCAAGATGTTCGCTGGGCAGCTATCTACCATCCACCATCCTACCAAACTTCCTGCAGTGGTGCTCCAGCTTGAGAGCTATCTTGGCGTTCCCTGCCTATACCGTTGGAGTTACATGCAGATAATGTACCGTTAGATTGTTTATCTTAAATAGTTCTAAATAAAATCTTTGATAGCATATATCTCCCTCTTATGTGGTAGCCACTAAATGTAAAATTTTGAGCCATAAATACAATTAAATGGGATACATGTTTCACAATGCACATTTTGGAATATCTGTCAAAGTCTTGTCGTTTTGAGTATNAGAAGAGACTCTGAACCAGAGTATTTGAACGGAATTTTCGGACCTTTGTAGAGGAATGGTTCCGAAGGCGTTTTTATTTCCCCCTTCAAAATATTTCAAATATTTGATAAAATTGTTTTTTCCGGGAAATTTTAATGCAAATGTTTCCAAAACTTATAATTTTTTTTTCAAAACTTTTCAGACAACAGTACGAAAAACTGTTGGAAAAACAGTTTCTGGTATTAACGATTTTAAAAAGTTTCTATTCATAGCAGATACTCAAGCGATCTTCCGCTTGCACAAATTGAATCTGGCTACAATTTCTTTTGGAATTTCTAATTAAGAATAGAAAGATAGAAAAAAAACTTTCGTAATTAAATTCTTCATGTTGTGTGGTATTGTTGGTCTCGCTCAATAGATCTCTCCTGAGAACAAAACTGTTGAATTGAAAGTAGTGAAGAGAGATAGGAGAGATTAATTTTAAGGAGAGAAAGCAATTGATTTCAAAAATGAACCGCTCACAAGGATCTATTAGATCATGCAAATATGTAACTTTTCTGACACGAACTGGAAAAAACATCCAAATATTGAATTACACGAAAGAAGATATACTTTCGAAACGATTACCTATTCATATGAACATTGAATAATACAAAAAACACTTTTCCTGTTCAGTTTTGACTTCAAACGTTCGTTATGGAATTGAATCAGATGTCACTCACAGGATTGCTACAGAATATATATGAAAGAGGTGAAATTTTACATGGAACACTGTCATTCTCAATGGGACATCCAATGTTCTGGAATGAGACACTTGCCTCATATACCAATCTGGATAACATTACAAAATGAATCATTCATGGAATTAAGACGAATGAGTTGAATCTGCTCATATCGTCGATGACCACGTATCGATAGCTTGGAACACTGTTCCGAACCAGAAAACTGTACACACCTCAGCAACTTCTGGAAATGTATAAAGCTCAGATGACCTTCTTTGGAGTATTGTTCTCCTCATGCATGGAGCTCCGCCCCTTAACATACTCTGAAGCTGCTGGATTACATCCAGAAAAGATCCATCCGCCTGATTGGAGACTCGAGCATCACTTGCAACCTTAATAGTCTGGAACATCGAAGAAAGGTTGGAGATTTGTCTCTCTTTTATAGATCTGAAGAGGGCTTTTGAAACAATTGACCATAATATTCTTCTAATAAAATTAAGAGTTTATGGCATTGGCGGTAATGTTTACGAATAGTTAGTTGTCTGACTATTTATTCCATAGAAAGCAAAAAGTCAGAATTCAAGATAATCTCACAGGAATTGGATAAACATATAGGTGTGCCGCAGGGTAGCGTTTCCGGACCTCTGCTTTTTATCTTATACTTAAATGACATAAACTTGTTTATAAATGTTGATTTTGTAAATTTGTTCGCAGATGATACACAAGCTTAGATAAAGCTATTGATGTAATGAATACCTCATTAAATGATGTAAATGAGTATCTCATGGCAAATAAATTGAAACATTAAAAAAAATTGAAAACTAAATGAATGATTATGACAACAAAATATAACTGGAACAACCTTGATTTGAATGAATAATGAAATGTTGAAAACATTTCATCGAAATGAAAAACAATGAAAACATTGAAATTGTGCCATATATCAAATATCTTGAATTTCAGTTGGGTGATTCATTACTTTTTGGCAATCATCTCGATTATATATGTAAAAAAATATCTAAAAAACTATATTTCTTTGCAAGACTTTTTGGTTATTTATCCACTCAGTCTCAAATTACTGTATACAATGCCACATTTTCTTGTTTAATCTGAATGAAACACCTCAATTACAAAAACTTCAAAATGGCGGTATGCGAATTGTTCTAAAAGTGAATAGATTCACTGAAATCGGAATCATGTCAAAAACTTTGCGGTGGCTACCAGTTTCTTTACGGTTGTATTACTCAACTATGAACTGTATAAATAAAATTCTGAAACCTTATCACCGTCATATTTTTCTGAATTTGTTAGACTCAATTCAGAAGTGCACAAATATGCCACAAGAAATCATACTAATTTGCATTTATGCAGAACAAATAGGAGAAGTACCATGAATTTTTTATTTTTCAAAGGGTNTATAACTTCTAGAGTTTTTGCAAGTTTCACTAATTTCACGAATTGTCCTTCTTTGTAGGTGTCATTTGTTTCCGGGTTGATATAAATGTCCCTGAAATTTGAGTTTAATTTTTAAGTCATTGTGTATTTTTCAGTAAACAAACAACGTGAATAGGATACGAAACTTCACCTGAACAAATATAACAGAAATCAAATATTCTGTACCTGGACTTGGACGAAAATTCAAACCTTCTTTCAACCTACTCGAGAGGTTAAAGTCTATAGGCGTTAGGTCCGGTAACGTGGCCGGCTACCGACCGGTTGGGTCCGTGGTTGGCTATTCAGTTAATACCAAAATTTGCAGCCAAAAAATTTGTGACAATTGCAGTGTGGTGGGGCGAAGACCCGTCTTGTTGAAAATATATTTTTCTGAGCTCCATTAGTGACAATTTATCAACAAGGGGTTCAATATTATGCTTCGAAGTTTCTAAAACCTCCCGAATTGCTTTTTTCCTACTGTCAGGTAATCAAAATTAAAATTACAAAGCTCTAACATATTTTGGAATAACAACAGAAACAGTATCTTCATTTCTGAATAAATAGGTTATTGAAATCGCATATAGAACGGGTAAATCGTTGGGAAAATCAGTTGAAAATAATAAAGACAAAACATTCCAATTCGAGAGATCAGAAGTATGTTAATTGAATTGTAAAACTTGTTTTGAGATATACAGTGTCACACATAAAGTCCGCATCAAATGGGATTTTTTTTGTTCATCTCTTCAAGCAACTTTTGATATCCTCATTAGGTTGTGCTTTAAAAATGATGCCAAATGACATGCATATGACCGATCAAGTGATTTTTCTTCCCTGTCAAATTTGACATTTTTTCCAAAAAATGTTCAGAAAAGCAGTTATTGCTCNTATTTTTGAGCGGTACAGTCACTGGTTTCTGCCATTGAGGTCTGCAAAAATATGTTGATATTTTTTTAGCCTCATTGTCTTCGTTACCAATATCACTTACTGGTAATTCTGCATATCGTCTATTGTTATTATGCCACCATTGTTTTGTATGTCTTGAACGAATTTCACGGTTAAGGAACCATTATTGAGAGCATCTCCACCTTCTTCGGCTATAACTTCTAGAGTTTTTGCAAGTTTCACTAATTTCACGAATTGTCCTTCTTTGTAGGTGTCATTTGTTTCCGGGTTGATATAAATGTCCCTGAAATTTGAGTTTAATTTTTAAGTCATTGTGTATTTTTCAGTAAACAAACAACGTGAATAGGATACGAAACTTCACCTGAACAAATATAACAGAAATCAAATATTCTGTACCTGGACTTGGACGAAAATTCAAACCTTCTTTCAACCTACTCGAGAGGTTAAAGTCTATAGGCGTTAGGTCCGGTAACGTGGCCGGCTACCGACCGGTTGGGTCCGTGGTTGGCTATTCAGTTAATACCAAAATTTGCAGCCAAAAAATTTGTGACAATTGCAGTGTGGTGGGGCGAAGACCCGTCTTGTTGAAAATATATTTTTCTGAGCTCCATTAGTGACAATTTATCAACAAGGGGTTCAATATTATGCTTCGAAGTTTCTAAAACCTCCCGAATTGCTTTTTTCCTACTGTCAGGTAATCAAAATTAAAATTACAAAGCTTTAACATATTTTGGAAAAACAACAGAAACAGTAGCTTCATTTCTGAATAAATAGGTTATTGAAATCGCATATAGAACGGGTAATACTTTGGGAAAGTCAGTTGAAAATAATAAAGACAAAACACCCCAATTCGAGAGATCAGAAGTATGTAAATTGAATTGTGAAACTTGTTCTGAGATATAAATTGGTCAAACTGACAGAACATGCAGGAATCGAATCCAGGAACATCATTTGAGCTATGTAAATGAGAAAATGAGTTCAACGTATTCAAAAATCTATAAGAAGAAAATTATATCTTTATTGGAGATTTGGAAATTCTACTCATAGGAAGTAAAGGTATAAAGCTGAATTTGTTTAGGTCACCATTACTGAAAATGTTTTCCAGCAGACATTCACCAGAACCTATTGTCTAGGTAAGTTGGGAGAAAGATATCATTTCAAAATATTTGTTTTCGTATATTCATGTAGTGCCTATTTTTTCATTTTTAGTTGACTGAAGTACATTTTATCAAATCCGTCTTCAGTTTCTAGGCTGATTGAAGGTTTATAAAAATCGAACAAAAAATGTGGGTTTCAATTTTTTCCGTAACTTCAATAGTTTAGAAAATATTAATAAAAGAAGATGGCATCTAAGTGTATTCGCATTTTCTGAAAATATAGAAAATATAGAAAAGAGTTCATATGTTTTCCGTAATATCAGGTGGGTTGGGAAAATATCGAAAAATCAATTATCAGTCAAAGATTATTTTTTCATTTCACGAAGCCTGCTTAAAAGATTGGTTCAAAAATATGTTCATGAATATATTTATTATAAAATCGGCATTTGTTTCGAAACTTCTGAAGCTCTCCAAGTATGTGTACTCTTGTCCTTGCTGAAAATGCTTATTACTTTGATAAATTAAGCTGAAATATTTCAGTTCAGAATATTTCAACCTTTTGACAAGGGCGTGTACAGAAGTTGATGAAAAAAATATTTCTCAGCACGTTCATTTATTCCACATCTAGTTCAAGAATTATTTTGCAATTATTGAAGTGTACCTGTCATTGATATTTCCACCTAACCTAACAATTCCTCACCTCAAAACGGAGTCATTATATAAATAATCTTTTTTCTTTTTATACACTCCTTCTAGAAATTTTGTTACGTAAACTCCTCTTTTACATATATCAATTGTTGGTTGTACCAATTCTTTCCATGGAACTCCCCCACCAAATTTCTGGTAGAGGTGCCAATATCCACGCAGTTCACCAGGAACTGCAACTGCTTTTCCTCCTAAAAAACAACATATTTTAACGCGACATCTTCTCACAGTGAAACCCATTATTTATGGTGCCAGTGAATAGTGAATTATACTTGTCACCACTTGGTAAAAATTTTCATATTTTTTTTTCACATCATATTTTTTTGAGACACAAAATGGATCATATAGTATNATCACCTTGGGCGACCCTGGGAAGCTGGCGCCGAAGAAATATCTGGCGATGACCAGGAAAAATCTACGCCTTACAGTAGGATTTCTGACTGACCACTGTCAACTAAGGAAACACCTCCATAATATGGGGCTAGTGGACACACCATGCAGGATGTGTGAGCAGGAAGATGAGACTGTCAGGCATGTCCTGTGCGAGTGCCTGGAGTTATCGTCAATAAGAGAGTGTGTGTTCATCGAGTCTTGGCCTACACCTGCCGATATAAAGGAGATGTCTCCCATCGACCTGTCCACCTTACTGGAAAGGACAGGATGGACGATCACCTAGGAGGACAACTCTTCGGGAGGATGTACAATGGGTCACATGTGGCCTAAGTGCGTGGGCTAACACTCACCCTCCCTACTCTACAGATACATATGCAGATGCTGTTGGCGATATAACTGCCGCAATAGATTTTCAATTATTGTAACACACTTGCAGACCGGTTTCGGGCTGTTTGGCCACTCGTCAGGGCAAGGTAGTGTCTATCATCAACATAAAGTCGATGATTTCCGATAATTGAAAATCGAATTCCTCAAGTGTATGATTCCTCGAACTAGGCTGAAGCAGACGACAAACAACGGGTTTGTCATCGCCCCATCTGCCTGTGAACGAGGTAGCTAACCGCGTATCCAAAATTTGCCCAATTCCTCGTATAAGGAAAGAAAACTTCACACATATAGGGTGATTCAAAAGTACTTTGACAAACTTCAGGAGGTGATTCCTCACAATATACTAATATGAATTGTCCAAATAAGTAAATGTCCGGAAACGCTTCGTTTCCAAGATACAGGATGTTGAAGTCTTATTTTTTTTTCGTTTTTTTCAAATAACTTGAAATACTGAACTTAATTAAACGAAACTTGGTAATAGGAGGATTTTGAGGTGTCGAATTCGAACCTGATGTTCTTATTGCACTTACTCGTAGGGGGCGTCACCTACACGTCTTTTTCTTTTTTAAAGATTCATAACTTTTTTGGGCGTACTTCTAGCACATTTTTCAGTAGAAAAATCGATTCCCCCATCATATCTACTGAAATAAGCTACCCTTGTTACTAGTCGCTGTGAGCAACCGTTTTCTAAATATTTGGACTTGAAAACTTCAAGTCGATTATTTGATAATCGATGCATGTTGAAGTCATTACGAATATTTTACTTTTTTCACAAGAATGCTTTGGAAATGAATTTGACGTTTTACTCGTTTGAAGAGGTCATTACTGTTGGGTACGTTCCTTTATGACATCCTTAAGCGAAATAGTTATTTTTGTATCAAGGGTGCATAATCAGTATTTGTTTTAATAAAATTTGCAAGAAATGTCAACATTTTATTTCAGGAAATTTTGAATATGTAGAATAAACTAA